GGTTCTGTGTTCGCAACTGAATTTTGCTCTGGTGGCGGCCGAAGGCTACTCTTACTAATTTTGGACCACCAAGGGATCTTTAACGTGCACAACTTGCACACGGGACCTCCATGATTCTTCACCCTTATCCAATAAGGCTTGGTGTTAGCTCTTACGTACCATAAGATCAGGGGTGTGACTGAAAGACAGCAGTAAGAAGGAGCCTCGGAGTAAGAGTAGAAAGGCTGCAGAAAGAGTCAGGAGTCCAGAAAAGGGGCAATGGAGGTGAGAGGGTGGGGTAAAAAGTGGAGACGAAAGCAGACGACAGAACCTTATTAGAGAGTTGGAAAGGGTGTGAAAGGAAACAATTTTAGAGAAGAAAATTTTCTGTATTCGAACCCGGGGCCTATTGAGTTAGAGGTGAACACTTTAACGTTTAGATCAGGAGAGCTCCCTTGTTGTAGTTTAACTTGATGTAATCGCTTACAATATCGAATTCAGTTTTTCCAAATACGTTACATCAAAGATCCTACCCAACAAGATGGTTCACTCAACCAAAAGTGTCCACAGAAGTTCGCGCATTGCTTCAGATGCCCATGCAGTCGTTGTTTTGAAGCTCTCTTTCATTTCTTCACAGGGAGAATAGAAACAGCACCCCCTTGTTCATGCGGATTGACTTCTGTTCATCAGTCTAAAATCAGCTGTCCGGGTTTGCACGGTGCGGAGTTTTGGGGATTTTTAAAAACATATTTTATTGACCCTCTCGGCTCTCATTATACAACGAAATTAAACGACGACGACAGTCGCTTCTTAAGAGGCTTTTTGTCATTAGCGTAACCGGGCGTTCTTCCGAAATTTGAATTTTATAGGCTTAAAGAGAGGGGTGAACCATCTTGTGTACAATCTATGGTGAATTTAGTTTTGATTTACAATAACCAGAGGTACAAACACATACAAAAAAAAATCTCCAAAACACTAGAAGAACAAGATCTGGTTCCCTAGGGAGTGTGATAATGCAGTAAAAAAAAAGAAGGCAGCATATCGAAGAGCCGTCGACAACAACACCACTAAATAAATCATTTAAAAGCTCGAGCTGAGGCACGTGGATGCATCAGGGAGAGTAAAAGACTATCCTTCTGAGAATACATTCCCAAAATCAACAGTCAGACACTAGTCAACAACGTTACCAAAATAGTTTGTTGTTTTTTTAAGTTTGGTATACGCCCATCTGACGTGTCCACAGCAGAGACACAAGTAAACATGACAAACACAATAGCTACACCTCTCTCCAAAAATTAACCCAAAGCGCTCTATCTACCAAAATATCAAAACTAATAGAGAACAGCAACACCTAAACTTCCACTCAAACAACATAGAAACCTACAACGCAGACTTTACCCAAGACGAACTAAAACCATGCATCTCGGACCTGGGCAATACAGCCCCGGGTCGGGATGACATCCACATCCAGATATTTAGACATTCACCCTCAGAAATACTTCGAGGGTACGATTCCAAAAAGTCGTATCTAAAATTTGCTACTTTTCAGGAGACGAAAAAAACTGTTTTATTTCCAAACGGTTAGAGATACAGGTTTCATTTTTTGCATGTGAGCCTCAAAATACAGTCCACGCTCGTACTTTTAATGAGCTTGGGGCTGCCTATGCCACTTTTCCTGTAATGATGAGTTACGATAAACTGAAAATCGAAACTTGAAAGCAAACTGTAGTAACTCAAGTTACGACAGTCAGATGTTGAAGACAAAGTGTCGTATCTTGAGTTACGACTTTTTGGATTCCAAATTTCGAGAGACAGGGGTATCGCAACTCCAGATACGACAGTTTTATTGCCAAATCTCAGTATATTTCTCTTACTTTTAGGAATGAAAATAAACACTCCAAAGTTGCAACAGCTTTATTTTAACGCTTTACCAGAGTTGAACTACTAACAAACGAACCTCTTTTTTACGGAAAATCAAAATGCAGAGTGATGCATGCCGCTCAGCAGTGGAACAGTTACAAATGATTAGATCTAATGGTATGGGTCATTTAAAACATGAAGATGATTAGGCTTGAACGTAATTAAAACGTACTTGTTTTCAATGCAGTTTATGTCAAAAGCGCACAAGACCCTTCAATTCAGATCTCTTATACTTGGAATGACGCTTCATCAGAGTATAAAACAAACACATTAGGGTGATGCTTCCACCTCAATTAGATTTCATTTTAAAAAATAGCTGAAAATTGAAAATTCGACAAGAAGTAAAACTTAAATTCTGAACGCCTGGTTCTGGAATCAGTATAGAATATTATAAAAAGCATGTAAGCATGAACTTATTTATGATAGGTTCTACCATCAGTTGGTCGGGGGGATATACATAGACCCACTGCTTCGTCTGCAGGAGGTGTAACCAATTAAAAGACGAGGTGTCCCAACCCTCTGGGGTCCGGATGCGACACCGACTTTGGTGCTTCTTCCTTTTCTCCTTCCTCCTTTCTTTCTTCTTCTATCTTTTCTCTCACCGCTAACCTCAGGTGCAGCAAAAAGAGAGGTCACCCATCCCACAGAGTGGGCGCCTTGTTGACCGTGAGGTGCGACCCGTGTGGAGGGAAACAGGGTACCTGGCGGTTGGCGAGAGATTAGTCTACGGACTCGCCAACACACCTCTTTGGCCCAGG